CTGAAGGCTCTTTCTGTATTTCCTTCTCACAGTTGATTAATCAGAATAAATGGTAGGAAATAGACTTCCACCCTTAAAATGAAATTAAGTGTTTCTGCTTGCATGTGGGTGCTCTCAGGATGCTGGGAGGCTTGGAGATGTGTGCAGTCCCTGTGCTGAGAAGTTACCCTGAGGCACTCTGGAGGATCTCATAAGTGATGTACAGCCCCTGAGCAAGTGGTTGCAGCCTGCCAAGAGCACAAGAGATTTGGTATTACTGAAGAACGCAAATGGTTTTGTGTTCATCTTACCTCTCTTATCATCCAGCTTCTTCATATGTCTGGGGTGCTACAAGGGCGTGTTCTTATCTCTGCAGTCCCTTTGCAGCCTCTTATGGAAATTCCTACCTTAGCATTGCTCTTGCTGAACACTTACTGAAAGTTAGGTGGATAATTGGCACCAAGTTTCTTTTGAGGACCCTTCCTTGATGATTGTGAGAGGTGTGGACTGAAACAGAGAGGAATTTTTAGTGCTTCGCCTCTTCTCATCCAGGCAGCCCCCGAGTAGTACAACACACATGATTTTGTACCACTGCTACTCTTCCATCACGTGTCTCAGTGCTCCTCTGACTTGTATGTCAGGCAGTCGGAGGAGCTGCTGTTTTCCATCTTCTACCTCCAGCCTGTCCCTCCCTGCTCCTGAGTGACGTGGGCTGCTTAACAGGCTGCTGACAAGCATCAAATCTGTTCTCAGGCACTGCTCCATGTTCCAGCAACAAAGCTTACAAATTAAGCCTCCTGTCTTGGCCAATTTTGTTTCTCCACCTGGAGAATTCATTTTGGCCTGTAACTCAGTGAAACATCTGCAGTCCTGGCTGGTTCCTTCACCAGCAGCTCACCCACTTGAATTATCTGGCTCCTCTCTGTTCTTGAGGGCTGCATTTCTCCAAGCAGGACTATGTCCCTAGAACTCAAGTGCCATCCAGGCTCAACTTTACTCATTCCTTTGATGTACTTGCACTGGAGATGGAGCCAATCCTAAAACTGATAGGTTTTTATTGTTTTAGACTTAAAATTCTAAATGTTCTTTACAGCTGCTTTCCAGGAGTCCCTGGTGGAGTCCTCCTGAGATCTGTGCTTCCTTCTGCTCACTCTGAACAGTGCTTTAGATTCAGTAGATGAAGGCTGTTCTCCTATTTTGAGATCTGAGATTTCATGAGATCATGTGTAGCTCAGTGGTATTACTCTGAATGAGGAGCTAATTACCTATGTTGTAATTAGGAATTGCTAATCATCAGCACTATTACTGGTAGCCATGACAGTGATGCTATATCATCTCTCTCTGCCTCTTCCCTGTGAGTGGGAAGTGTTTCTGTCTGCTTTCTAAGTGGAAGACCTGAATTGCAGAGGTTTAATGGTGTGATTAGTCTGCAGCAGGCCTGCTATCGCTGGCCCTGGGACTGTGCCATGAAGCCCAGGACCAGGAGGTGCACTAGGTGATGCTCCATCTCAGCTCTCTGCTGTCGTATTGGAAAGTTAATCAGATACTCAGGGGATGAAGATTGTAGTTTATTTTTCTTTCTTTTTTGATTGCTGTGACAGTATTTTTAACTTAAGACCAGCATGGATAAAGTACTATAAGAATTTCATTGGTTTATAGTCTTTTACTGACCCTGGTGGTTACTCATGAGTTGACCTTGTCTCTTTTGTGGCTGGGGGAGCTCTTGAATTTCCCTGAAGTGGCTATTCCAGTGCATATTTATACCAAGATTTATTTTACTCTTCCACCCACCAAGGTGATAAGCAACAATCATCCATTTTCCTGATGACTTTAAGCACCGACCACTCTTGAGAAGAAAAATATGACACATTGAGCTTGACTGGATGGCATGTGGTTTCCATGATGAATGCCTTTTCTTTGGTTTCTGTATGTTCCTGCTGTCTCTATAGAATCAGTTATTCACAACTGTCATGTTGTAACTAAAATGCGTTGTAGTCATCTACCCAGGCAGAGCTCGATTTCCTCCAAAGCAGTGTCTCGTGTTGCTGTGCTGCGTGTAGGAGTACTGACCTTTCAGCTTTCCTCCTCTTAATGCCTATCTGGACAGTGCTGGGAGATGAATATTTTGGAGGACTTCTAGGGCATGTGGTGGTTGGCGAGAGCCAAGGATAAGCACAAGTGAACATTATTACTCATTCCAGTAACGCTCCATTGGCCATAGTGTGGAGGACCAGCTATGAAGAAAGTCCTGGAGGTAAAGCTGGGCAGGAGGCAGCATATTTCCTGCTCAGGTTTCCTTTCTGGTGATTTGGCAGACTTTTGCAAGTCAGTGGCATAAATAGCAATTATGCTGATTAAAAGAGGAAACTTATTTACTGCTACCAAACATTCCCGTTAGACTTTCTGTGTTTTCATTTAGAACTGGCAGGAAAACTTCAGTTGAAATATTTTTTGATTCAATATGGCATTTTGATAGAATTTCCCCCCCTTTTCTTTGAATATGTTCTGAAATTTTGTTGAAAAGCTCTCAGACAGAAATTCTGTGAGTTTTCCAGTTGCTGCAAATGGACAATATTTCAGTTCCTGAATGGGCATGAACGTAGTGGAAGAGACATGTGTGTGTTTATTAATACATTTCATACAGAAAAACATATCCTTTTGACAAGTTCCAGCTTCATCAAACCTTGCTCCTGTCTCCTGGAGATAGGCAAGAGAGCAACTGATGCATTCCTTTGCCAGGAAGACCATACATGAAGACCCTCCAGTCTTCAACCTGGATGATGCTGCTACAGCTCTGTAGCACTCAGAAGACATTCAATGAGCAGAGACACAAGGTACTGTCTTCTCCTGGAAGTTACCTTCCCAGCTTCTACGGCAGTGCCAAACCTGCCAGCTCCAGGGAACAGGAGGGTGCAGGTGGCTTTAACCTCAGCAGCATTCCTCAGTGGTGTCTTGTGAAAAATGTGCACAGCTGTACAGAAACTTCTGAAAGTTTGCAACTTAGACAGTTTCTCCCTCATTTCCTTTCATGTTTAAAGTTGAGATTAATGGGACAAGTCCTAGGTAGCTTTTACTTTCCTTAGGCCAGATAGGAGCTGGCAGAGGATGAAAGGCTTCACCAGAAAGCTCTCCCTTGCCCGCTCCTGAGGTGCGAGGGAGCAGTGCCATGGCTCATCTGCTGTCCTTCCTGCCCGCTGCAGTCCTTCATGGAACTCCCCACTGGTTGCTGCCTCCTGCTGCCATCCGGCACAGCCCAGCTCTGGGCAATTTGTGGTGACACAAGCTTGTAATGCAGGAAGTGTGGCCCCTCCACGTCTGGCAATTTAAATGGATGTTGTCACCTTGTGCTGCCTGATCTCATTCCTCCTACTCCAGAGAGAGATCAAAACTGAGGGGAGGTCCGTGGCCTGAACCAGCAGGCACTGAACCAGAAATGAGAACATTAAAGAGGAAGAAAATTGGTGATCCAGCTGACACGTGCAGGATCCCGAATCACCTGGAAGACACATGCTGAATGCCAAGGAGGAGCTGTCGGTTCAGAGCGATGTTTCGTCCTCCTCTGTTTCAAGGATGGGGTCATGGGCTGTGCTGTCAAGTGGGGGACAGGAGAGAGGAGCCAGGAGACTGGGATGCGCTGCCAAAATCAAGATAATGGCTCAGCTGATGGCAGCTCTCACATCAGTGGCTGGTACCGGTGTGCGTCACCGTGCTGAGCCAAGTTGTCTCTGCAGTTCCTTCTCCGCAGGTCAGACAGTCCTGCCAAATGAAGCAAAAGTGTCAGCTTTGAAGGGTAAAGTGTAGACTGTGAATATAAACCTGCCTCTGGCACTTGCAGCTCCTTTTCCCCCCATTCATCCACCTTCCTCCCATCTTCTGCTCCTGGCTTTTGAGGAGCATCTGTGGGTAATGAACAGGTGATTAGGTAAGATTTTAGTTAAGGACAGTGGTTAACTACAGGTTTGCAACAATTAACAGTTAACTGAAGGTTTGAAGGACACAGCAGAGTTAAGATGTCAAGTGAGAGAATGGGTGAACTGCGGTGTACAAGAGGGACAAAAGCCCGATCCCACATTCAATCATATAGATTAAGCTATTGTGGGAGTCACTCCGGTGTGTGCTCAAAGCGAGGGGTTGCAGAGGCTGTTTCGGAGCTCCATAAATGGTACGTGTCCAGGTGGAGCATCAGAAACTTCCCAGAGGTGATACGAATTAGCTTGCGGAAAGCCCCAGGGTGGGTATCTTAGTATGGTGGCTGCACTGTTGTCTCAGCATCATTTCAGACTAGGCAGTAGGATGTACTTGTACGAGATTTTTGCGATGGTTGGGTGAACCTTACTTTCTGACCTCCCTGTGCAGTCCTGTTCTAATGACCTGGTATCAAGATACTGGCTTTGCATGTGATTTTAGTGAATAGCAGGCTCATTGTTACCTTCAACCCAGGGCATCTGGGCTGTTTCACCTTGACCCCAGAGTACCCATCCTCACTTGTAGCTCTCATTTGGCTTCTATTTGTCAAAGTTGTCTCTAAGCCTGGGAAAACTTGCAGAAAGACTAACAGGAAGCAGTAGATCTCTTCCAGCACCAAAAGAGTGCTGGTGTTCCTGCGACATAATATTGTGCTTCTAGAGGAAATTCTGCTGTGGAGCGAGTGGTGTGGAGAGAGATGTAGGGCAGTTTTTAGTGGTGGGGATAATAATTTATATCGCATGACTGGACAGGCCTAGGTGGTTGTGCATCAGGATCTTGTTGTAATGGATATGGTGTGGCCCTAGAAGAAAAGTGTGTGCACATGGCGGTTTGCGGTCCTCTTTCAGGACAAGAGAGGCAGAGAAACAGCCAAGCTACAGTCAAAGCAGTAGTTTGTTGGACAGCAACACGTAGCGTGCTGTGGTTTCCACTCACTACTGCTGTCATCGACTTCACGAGCTTTGTGAACACAGTCTGAAAGACAAAAGAAGGGCCACGTATGTTCCCTGACCGCTTGTGACATGTACTTTTCTCATTCTTCTCTCTCTCTGTAGCGAATTTGCCAAAGAACGAGAGAGGGTGGAAAATCGTCGAGCTTTCCTGAAACTCCGTAGGCAGCAGCAAATTGAACGGGAACTAAATGGATACTTGGAGTGGATCTTCAAAGCAGGTAAGGCGAGAGATCTCCTGATCTTGGTTCAGTATGTTTTGTGGCAAGTCGAGTCTGGTGATGACAGAGGACAAGGGCCCCAGAACTAGTCCTTGGTGTTGCTGGCTGTTGAGGTAACCCAAGACTAGAGAGGGCCCAGCAGCGTTTGGTGTTTTTGTTGGGCTTGTTTCTGAGCAATCATGCTAAAGTTATTGCAAAAGATTTCAGTTTGGTTGAACAAAAATAAAGGAGCTGGGCCAACTTTCTTTATTGCTGAGATCAAAGCAATTGTCTTAATACAGTATAATATAAAAAGTGATACAGTGCCCAAAGTCTCCACAGTGGGGAAACTGTTCCCTTATATGAGTCATTTATATTTTATTTACTTTCTACCACAGCTGTTTTATAAGCCTCTCTTGCTGTGATGGTAAAATACACTGGAGTGTCATTTTTATGAGCTACAGAGATCACTTGCATGAAACTCACCCCAGCACATATTAACATTGCTTTATAACTGTTATAACTGAACATTGCACTTTATTGCAAGCCATGAGGAACTTTACCAAGGACCCAAACGCACTAATTTAACAAAAATTACATGCTTTTCTTTTCCTTTTTATTGGACAGTAAAGTTTACCAATAACCTTTCTGTGTTACAAAGTAGCTGATACATATATTGACATAACCACAGTGCAATTCATGTACATAGCATCAAGAAAACTTCTGGGGCTAATGTGCTTCCTTGCTTGCTTTTCTGAGAAGCTGAAACATCTGAGTAATGTGAAAAAGCCTTTTAAAACAGTGATGGGAAGAAAAAGAAGCGGTTGTTTCTCAAATAGATTTTCACGTGCTTTTCTGGACAGGTCAGCTTCATCTTTGCCCTTTACAAATGGGGTAACTGAGGTCCAACATAGTATAGTGACATCAGCCGGTAGACTGGTGGCAGAACGGGCACTCTGTGGTGCTCTTAAACAGTGGGCTGGCACGCTACTAAAAGCCATGTCATCATTTCTTGTTCTGAAATCCATACTAATGCTGGAGGCCTGATGTGCTGAAATGTGCTTGTGCAAGCAAGTAGTTGTGTAGTCACAGCAACTCGTTGCACCATTGCATGTGCATAAGCTGTGTAAAGGCAGGGGCCAGGGCAGCCCGGTGCTACTCGGTGTATAAGTGGCTCTTTGGATTTACAGCTTCTGGTTTATGTGGATGACCTGGGTGCCAGTATTTGGAAGAGCATTTTCACGTGGCTCCTGCTGCTTTGCTTCTGCTTTCTCCTCTGAAGCGCTCTGCCAGCCCCTGTGCCTGGGAGAGCGGGGCTCTGCCCTGCTGCAAGGCCCCTGGGAGCACTGGCGGGGTGGCTGTGGTGCCTCCCCAGAGGGCAGTGGTCTGGGCATGAGTTTTGGCAGCCTGGCCAGAGGAAAAAGGCTGAACCATTGACATGTAAAATAGGAAGAAGTAGTAGCAGTTTATATGGTGGCACGAACCCGTTATTTCCCATAGCGCTGCACAGAGTGACAGTTGAGTGCCAGTTGGATTGATGGACTTTTATTCACTGTGATTGTTCAACAGCAACTGTCCTCGATTAGGTAACCGCGGTTAAATCTCTGGTTCTGTAGGATTCAAAATAAGAATTGCTCACTTTCCTTTTCATTTATAATTTGTGTTCCCATTTGTTTACAGCTTCTGTGCTACCTCAAATTCAAATTAATGAATGGTTTATCCAGTGGCTGGAGCAGAGTGCACAGTGGTTCTCCCTTGGCTCTAGTGCCATCCTGCTCTTAAGGCTCTTGTGATTTCTTGGTCTCTAAATCCTGGGCTCCCCATCAGTAAAATAAAGATGAGAATTCCCTTGCAGGCATGTGGGTTGCTTCATTCATTTTGGTGGCTGTTCTGCCAAGAAGAGCTAAGCAGAGGTCATTAGCTGAACTTGTCTGAATGGTGGAGAAGTTATAAAACATACAACCAGTCTCTGCTCCGACTTTGCATCCCTGTGGGAATAGCTGGCTGGTCTATTTTTGTATTGCCAGTGCTGAATAAATGCCACATCAGTATATAGTAAAACTGCTATAAAATGCCCATAACGCAAGATCCACAGGGTTTTCTAGAACAGGAGAGTGTATGGGGAATAGCTGAATTGGGGAATGATAACAATATTCTATAGAGGCATTGTTGAAAATACAATAGGAATGTAAAAAAGCTTCCTAGTACAGCTGGATAATAACGATAATTAAGATCAACTTAGTAAATCTTTGAATACAACAGGTAGCGTGAAGGCTGACCAAAACGGAGAATCCAGTGTTTAGAATTCAGGCACTGAAATCCGGGACTGTGCCATCAATGGGGATTTCCCATCTCTCTTTTAGAGGCCAGGATTTCAGCTGTGAAATGATCATGAATTTCCAAACTGGATAATCAGTCTTCCTTGTCCAGGACTCTGTGTGGGATGATGACCGAAGCAAACGGCTTGGGTGGGGGGAGGAGAACAGCCAAGGAGAGGAAGGTCACAGACAGTCCAGGCTGTACAGAAATCTCTTGCAACAGCCCCAGGCAGTGTGATGTAATAGGCCGTTTGCGTAAAAGAAAGAGCAGAAGCTCTTGGTACTCTGCTCTAATGTAACTCTGGAAGATTTTGTTATTATTCATGCAAATATGTAATTGTTTTTAAATCCTTCTAGCATCCTTGACCTCATTGAATCTTGTAGGAAGGAGTTCCCCATGTTAACAGTTGGTTTGATTTTAAAAAAACAAAGCAACGCAGCAAACAGTATGTCCTGTGCTCGATTTTAAATAAGTTGCCTTTCTACACAGAGAGGAAGAGCTCAGGGGTGCGCTTCATATTTCTTTTTATTACTTTTCTTCCTCTAATCCCTCTCTACCTTGTTTCATCTTTATTTTTTCTGCTCTAAAGCATGCAGAACCAATCTGCTCAATCCCCTCTCTTCTCATGGAAGGCTCTCCAGGCTTCTGTATTTGTAGTATCCTCCCTGAGCATTTTGTTTGTTCGTTTTTTCTCATTTATTTTTGATGCAAGGTAGGAAGAGTGGAAAGCTGCATTGCAGTGATTCATGAAGTGGCATCTTCATACTTAATCTGATTGGTTTTGCTCTGTAATGTTTTATATATTCTGAGTAGTTGCTGGAGCTGGAAAGGAGGTTTCCATGTTCTTGGTAGCGCTCAAGTTTTTACCTCAAGAATTGTAACTGGTTTAGGACCAAGGAAAGTATTTGAGTGACTAATCTGTACACTTCCTCCCATTTGGCAACAATTATTTTAATTTAACATTGTGCTCATCATTTATTGACCACTCTTGAGTGTCTTTAATGTTTCTTGCAGCCTTCTCTATTTGTAATCTGAATGATGTTATATTATCTCTTGCTGTACCTATTGCATTAAAAATCTGGTTTCGATAAAATTTTGGGGTTGTTTTCTATCAAACCTTTCATACACTGAAGTTGTAGACTGTTTAGTCCTCCAGAAGAAAACAAGGGGTCTTTGTTTTCTACCTCTTAAATGCTGACTTAAGCGTGGTCCAGACCTGGTCTAATGACTTGTCTTACATTTGTGTTGTAAGAATGAAATGTCTTTAATAGCCTGGCTCTTTTGTAACTGGCTTTTACATTTTTCTTTTTTTTCTGGTGGTACTTTTACATTTTTTTCCAGTCATAAAATAAGACTATAGAAAGGAAGAAAATACTAATAAAAAGTGCTTGTGAAGTTTTCAAGGAGGTACCTTGGCACAACTGAAAGATTTTGGTGCCAGCTCACAACTGATAAACCGCCAGAAGTGCAGCTCTGGCCGAAACTGAAGCAAACATAGCTCAGGCTGTTTTAAGGATGGATGGTTTAATACAGTCAACAGCAGATCTGCTTGAGGGATCTATACCGAGGTGTTTTAGACAGTGACAACCCTAATGTGCAAATGCTTGTGTGAGTTACACTTAATACAGGGAGCGTTAATTGACAAATGCCTTAACAAAGGGCTGGGGAATGAAAGAGAAAATTGTAACACAGATAATGTGCTGAAGTGCTGAGTTTAGACATGCGTGACTTGAAAGAAAAACCCACAGTCTGGCCAAGTTCCTTAGAGTTTGAATTTACTTCCTTCACTTAGGATTATGCAGAGGCCAGGTATGAAGTTTTAGCTTTACTTACTTCTCAGGTGCATGTTGAAGAATGGATACATAGGGTAGTCAGGAGGGTTTAAATATTTTCAGAGGAGATAACAGGTGATTTTGTGTAAAGTTCCCATATAATGAGGCCAAGACTAAGAACGGAAAATTGTAACTCAGTAGAGGATGTCAAGAAGAAATGTTGTGCCACCTTGAATGACTTAAATCTGTGTCTTCAAATCTGTAAGATTTTCAGTCTTCTAAAACTAGTGTGAGTTACAGGCCAGAAGCAATGATCAAATCCTATAATTTCTTGCATCTCACAGAATTTAGGCCAACAATTTGTATGGTAATTGCCTTGTCAAGCTCATAAACATTGACTCTCTATCATTTAGAAGTGAAATGTATGGATCAGAAACAGACCTGTAATCTTAGGATTAATCTTGAAGAATAAAGTCAACTGTCTGGTTTTTAGTAAATTCTTTAAAGGGACCCACACTTTCCACCGCTCGAAGTCAGCTGATCTAGGCGTAAAAAGCAATGCTTTGCACTGTATTGCTCCTCTAGGCATGAGACAACAGTTCTCTTCCCCAAATGCCTCTTCTTCAGTTCAATCGATATCAAACAAAGTCTTGCTGGTGACGAGCAAACCCTGTCCAGTTCCACCCACTGCCTTCTGGGACAGGCTCTGCTCTTTGTTTCATGCTTTCATTGGGCTCTGTGCAAAGGCAGGAGTAAGTCAATTTGAAATTATGCCTTTCAGAGGAATTAAAAAGTGGTGAAGCCAAGCAATGTAATCCATACAAATGATTTTGCCACCGCTGCTTTCTCCATTAAATTCCTCAAAACTGTAGCAACTGTTAGTCTGTCATGCTGCATTTCCAATGGAGAGCAAAGAACTAGAAGTTCTCTGCACAAAGCGCTTATAAGCCCACAAATATTCTTTTGAAGATGTTTCTCTTATCTTACAAGGACATACATAATTTTAAAAACACTTTGCTCAGAGACTGCAAGTCTTTCAGTTCAGAGCTAATCAAGTTGCATGTCTTTTGCATTTTAATTCTTTCCAAGTCCATCTCTTTCACACTGCACTGATTCTGAGAGCTTCTTTTCTCCTGGAGTAAGCAGGCTTTGGGAATGGGTTTAACCTCTCCCAGCTTGCTGTAACTTGAATGCCATTCCTTGACATGACAAATCTTTATGAACCTCAGGGTTTAGCTTTCTGTAAAAGAAACAGAGCAACCAGCCCCTTGATGCAGCTGGGAAAAGACACCTACATCAATGAAAGAGGGCAGCAACATGTGTGAGATGGCAAGGGAGGGATAATGGCCAGAAAGACAGATTAGAGCTCCCCATGAGAGTGTGATGACTTGTTCTAAGGGATGCATTTTTATTCACTTTTTCTATTTAACATGTCTGAAGCTTTAACAATTAAATTCAGTTGTTCTTCCTTTTTTCTAACTTCTGTTGAATATGAGTTATTTCTTATAATCCACTCTTCTGTTGAGGCTACAATGCCCTGTCTGACCATGCCAAAGAGAAAGAGAAGGGGCACCATGTTTCTCTGCCGCTTTGCCTGTACTGTTCATCTTGACAGTTCCTCATTAGGAGGTTTGCCTTTATTTCCAGGCCTGTAACATGCTGTGTATTGTTGGTGCTTAACGACCAGCAATTAATCTTACTGCTGAGACACCTCTCACTCTGATATCCTAGCGAAGCACCTGTGCCTTTGTTTGGAGGCTAGAAGTTGCTAATCTGATACTGTCTTTTGGTTGAGTATTTCTTCTAATGTAGAGGTGCTGTTGTTTGGAGGTTTTTCAGGCGCCCTAATTCTCTTGTTCCAGTCTCTGTGTTACAGTGATGACTAAAGGCAACACAACTTCTGATCCTCTGCTTCGGATGCTGTATGGTTAAAAAAAAAGTAAATCCTAACGATGAGGACTACCCTGCTGAGCTGTCTTTTTGGCAGGCTTTAATAACCATGTAAAGCCCCACTAGGGTAGATGTGGTTCTTTGGTTTCCCACAGGCTGCAAGACAGACAGGAGTGACTATCAAGGGAGAGAACTGGGGAGCAATGGTGGAGGAGAGTCTGGCTTGAGGGAATTGCATAGGCGGGTTTTGTTTAAGAGTGAACATGAGCCCTGGTGAGATGTATCTATGGATGGAGATAAGTTTGGGCACCAACTCAGGGACCTGAATTTGGGGCAAAGCCTCAGCTGGTTTGCAGAGCTGTCTTGAAAGAACATGTACTTTGTAGGTGAAAATATGTTGGTGTCAAATTGTCACACCTTACAAATTCTGAGTTCCCACTGGTGTTTATCAGTCTGGTTTCTGAAACCTCAGTATGGCTAAACCTCTCATTGGTCTGACTGTGGGGGCAGAGGTGACACTGGAACGTCCAATGGTATCGGTACACCATTGCAAAACATGATGATTATGTATCTACCCAGTTCACAGTCCCCAGAGGTGATATGGGCACTCAAGATTGTTCCCCCTCTGCTGCCCAAAGGACAGTGGAGAGTCATGACAAGTTGTTACAGGAACGTGCAAAACAAGAGGCCACTCGGAAACTGGGGAAAAGAAGAATTTCTTTTTTCTACTTGGAGATCTTTGAAAGGAACCAGTACGATGATTTTCCTCCTGCACTGATACAAATCAAGTGCAGAGCTGAGCTTCCAGATAAGTGAGTAGGCTCGCTCTTTCCTGGAATGTTTTAGGGGTTTTTTTTTAACAAGACATAACTGAAACCAGCAACCCTCAGAGCATTGACCAGTAAGTGTGCTGGCTCTCACTTCCTTCTGCAGACGCAGCTCTCTTGCGTTGCACTCACCTGGGTGTAGCCCCTGAAGAACAGCTGTCTGTCTCCTGACCTTTGCTAGCTTGTTTTCGTTGCTCACCAGCTGCATGGCAGTGTGTCTGCTCCCTGCAGTAGCTTCTATCAGTCCATTTAATTATCAAAAGCTGTCTAAAATTCATCTTTTCTTTCTGGGAGTGGCAGAAGAGCTCCTCTGGGATGTGCTTGCTTTCCCGTGCTTGTGCTTTGTCGCAGGACCTAAATGTATACGCCACTCCAGTGGAGTTTGAATTTTTACTGCAATTTGCTAGTACATAGCATAGGAAAAAATCACATCTGCATTGTGCAGTGGGGCGCAAAATGGAGAACAGCAAAGTACTGATGACGGAACTAATCTCCAGATCCAAAAAAGTGCAGAAACATCTGTGTGGCACTGTTGACTCTACTGGTACTAGGAGCTAGACTCGTTTTTATGCGGTCCTGTGCAGCGATGTGGGTATACCACCTTCAGATATGACATCAAGCTTTTAAAATCACGCTTCATGAGCAATGTTGCCTTTAAAATCTATAAGATGATGTCCACTGTAATAGCATCTGAAGCTCATGCTCCTTCCGGCACAGGTTTGCTTTGTGTTTCAGATTTACAAGCCTTTTTTTCAGCTGTCTTTGGGAAGGTGTGTCCACACCTAAACCATCCCTTCTGTGTGTTTCAGGGCAGTCATATTTGTTGGTAATAATTGCTGTTTAACTCCTCCTGTATTTTTAGCCCCCAAACACTGGCACAGCTTTTCCCTAGGCAATATTGTAGAAGAACCTTTTGGTTTCTGAGGTGCTGGTTTGAGAGAGAAGTCTCTTGAACTAAAAAAGCCCATTTCACTTTTCTGACCTGCCTTAAGCCTGGGAAAACACTGAATAGTACTGGCTTGTGGGGTTTTGAAGAATTTCATGCCTTTTAAAGTGCAGATTTTTAGCTCACACAACATTTTTAACCCTTTCTTGGCTCTCCTACCTCCGTGTCTCTGGTGCACTAGTTTGCACTTTCTTATTTTGTTCTCCTCTGCTTGGGTTTCCAGTCTTCCTCAGTCTTGGATATTATTTTTCAGCCTTCTCAATTTGCTGTCTTATTAATGTATCGTTCACTCTCTCTCCCAGATGGCTAATGAAGAGATTATATAAGGCTTGTGTGGTAGTGCTGATCCCTCTGGTATTCTGCTAGACAGCTTTCAGCTACACGCTTTGATGTTTGGCCTGTGGTTTGTTTGTATTTATTTTTAATTTTTTTAGTTAGCCTTCCATCTAGGCTGGCTTAAATGGACTTTAAAGCAAAATTTTGTGGGAACACAGTGTCAGATGTTTTAGTAGGAAACCAAATTACATCTGCGCCAAGCATGCGAAAGAATTTGTCATTTATAATGCTACAAGGAAGTGTACAGTTTACCAGCTGCCAACTCAATATTTTGTTTGCTTTAGATTGTACTTTAGAAAATCCTCACAGAATTTGACAGCAGCAAGCTGAAATCTGTGGTTCAGATGGTATGAACTGTACGGTTTTGAGCATTGGCGCAGCGTGGTGTGTTCTGCGAATTGACTTGGGTGATGACATTTGCATTGTGAAAGCTCAGGAAATTTGATTTTCTTTCATTTAGATAAAAATGAATCTGTTTCGGGAGGTTGGTTTTTTTTTGTGTTTTCTGAATTCTTCTACTGTAGAAAAGTATAAACTTGTATTTTGGAGATGAGTTACACAGGAATGGAAAACCAGCGGTGGTGTTCTTGCACATACTGCATAACCTGGACTGTGCTAGCCACAACTCCCCCATGGAAACTTTGCTGTGGCTTTTATTTGGACAGAGATTTGATGCGATGCCTATTTGGTGACATTCTGTCCCCTGTGCTGTGGCACAGCTCGCACGCAGCAGCCAGCCCTGGTTGTGTTACCCTGTGCCATGAGGCAGAGATCTATTTCCCGTGGTAGTGGTGGTGAGTCATTGTGAGTCGTGGTGTCATTGATGGAGACAGAAGAGCAGCAATGAGTGTAGAGCATCTTCCACTTCTCAAACAGTGTCTCCAATGTGGCTGGGCTTAAGAGACCATCCTCTGGCTTGTAGAGACCTGTGGTCTTGCTTGGGTCTGAAGGACGGTTCTTGGTCTCCAGAAGTCCCTTGCGAATGATAGCTGCGTAAAGAAACTGGAGTAGATGGTTAATTGTGAAGAGGGAAATCATGGAAGAAGTGCTACAGTCTTCCAGTGGTTTGTCTAGCCTCTTCCCCCTGTGCCAGAGGGGCACAGGGTAAGAAACACAGCTCTCCAAGCCATCCCTTCCTCCACAGACTTGGTGTAACTGGGTAATACAGTGGGGTAAGGTTGGTGGCAGCTGGGACACACACCTGCTGCATCCAGCTCAGCTGGTTTTAGAGCAGGGATGTGATAAATCTGAGGTTGAACCTTGCTGTTTTTCCTTTTACAGAGGAGGTCATGCTGGCAGAGGAAGACAAGAACGCAGAAGAGAAATCTCCTCTGGACGGTAGGTTGTTTTGCTGTGCAGTTTTCCTCCTGTGATACGTGAGAAGTTCACCTGCTGTATGCTGACATGGCTTTCTGTTGTAACCAGGAGGGTGTGAGGAACACGCTCTTGCATGCACTTGGCATAAGTCGGGCTAAAGAGTCCCTTTTCCTGTATCGGGTCTTTTTGAGGTTGCAGGTGGATGATGAGCAGTTATGTGACACACCACTCTGGGATGGGGATCTGCCCTTGGGTCGGTCGGTCCCTATGCTGCCTGTGGGACCACAGCCTCTGCCGAGCGTGGGTGGCTGTGTCTACGTGCAGGTCGTGGCGGGGGTAGGCTGCAGAGCGGATGCCAGAAGACAAATGCATTGAGTGAGAGAAGGCAGGGCTCTGAACTGAGGTTTCCAAATGGATTTGACAAAAGAGACTAAGACCCCTGTTACTTGTAAGCAGTAAGACATAACAGGGTGTGGTGATCCTATCTTCCAACGTGTGACCCTAGCGTTGCAGGATGGCTGGAGGTACCAAGATTCAGGTGCAGGCGCAGCGAGGCTGCGGGGACTGCTCTCCCTGTGCCTCCAGACCGATGAGCTCTTAGGATGCGACAGCCAGTCAAAGTTCAGTTAAAGATTCTTCCCTCTCCCTTTTCTGACCATCTTTCGTCCTCCCATGTCTCCTCCTTTCCCCTCCCCTCCCTTTCCCTCCTCTTTTTTTTTCTCCTCCCATTCACTGTCAGGGAGGGCCGCCTCGGAAGGGCCGATTCAACAAGGCACGGCACCGGCAGAGACTAGCAGCGGCAGCAGCTACAACAGTGAGTGGATTGCAAATCACCAGGGGCTTAGGTGGCACAGTGGGGCAGTGCTTCTCCCCTGCAGCCCCACGCGCCCAGGTCACCGGCAATGCTTCCTGGGTGGTTTTGCACTTTGCTCTGAGCCACACGGCTCCTTGGGGCATCAGGTGCTCGGCTGCTAGCCCACCTTGGGCAACCTGGTGACCTGTGCTCGGGGAGGACTCGGGGATGGAAGAGCTGGGGCTGAAGAAGGTCAGGGCTGAGGTGTGCTTGGCAAATCTTTGTGCGTGTGTGCGGGTGTGCGTGCACTGGGGAAGTTTGTCCAGCACGTGGGTGCAGCCAGGGCTGTTGGTCTTGAGCTGAAATGAGTGTCTGGAAGAGCAGTCTGAAAAGCTGAGTGGTGTAAGCAAACTAGAGGTGGGTGCAGGCCATGGAGTAAAGACCCAGGTATACGAAGGCTCCCTCTATACTAGTAAGCTAAAGGAGCCCAGCAGCGTTCCCAGCCTTGAAGCCAACTGGTGCGGAGCAGCCCACGTCTATGCTGGTAAATTGTCGTAGTCTCCAAAACAGGGGGACATTGCATCTGAGGTGCCTGTAGAGATGGCACAACCTAATTGCTAAACACATGCAGGAGGGTTTTTTGGGAGAAGATAAAGAAGAAGGTGCTCAATTCATGCCAGGAAGTGTTGTAAAACTTTACTCCCAGGGCTTAACCGGTTACGTTCTAGTGCTGGGGATGGTCCTGGACACACTGGAGTGTACTGGGACAGATGCGGCTTGAAGGACCCAACAGCTGGTATTGCTGGGACTGAGGATTCAGCCCACTGCTGGGTGGGCAAGAAAAGAGCAACAGCAGTTACCTGGAAAGAACTGGATTCAGACAACAGGTTCAGAGCATCCTCTCCTCTTCTTCAAGCCTCTCCAAACCTGGGTGGTGTTCTGGGTGTTTCCTTGAAGTGACAAAAGCACTAAAGCTTGCCTTAGCTGTGGAGGAAGAAGCGCATCCGTTTCTCTGTCAAGGCAGGGAAATTTGTGTAGGGTGAGAGGATCCTCTCGTACGAACCTACCCCCAGGGTAGTCACTGCAGAGTGAGTGGGTTTGCTGTGTGTGCCTACTGAACAGTATGTATCACCACACCGTGGGGTGTCTTACTGCTGATAGCAAATGGTGCTTAGTTACTGTGTGTCTTGAAGCTGTTACAAAACTGTACCAACATATTTTTTTCTGCTAGTCCTCAAGGTTTTGCAGGTAGGTGGTCATGGGACGGGTGTCCATGCTGTTCCTGCGTTACCCTTTGTGCACTGGGTGAACAGCGCAGACCTCTCCGAGCCTTGGGCTACAGTTCTCATTCCCTGTCGAGTAAAACGGTGTAGCGATGTTTGCCCTCCCCACAAAAGATGATGTTGGACAAAGTGTGTTTTCAAAGAGTTATGACGTCCCCAGAGGGAAGGAATTGTGCAGTGGGTGCTGTTAAGAGTACGTTCACTGATTTGTGGCAGTTGCTTTCGACAATGGCATTTATGCTCCTTAAGGCATTGCTCTGTGGTAAGCTGTATCCGAGCACCGTAAATGCTAACTCCTTAATGCTGCACACTGTAAACAGCACTAATGTTTTTAATGGATAGAAGCACTCATCTCATAACCCACTGGGACTCAGAAAGATTCAGTGACCCTGCCCAGCCTTTCTGCTGTGCTAAAAGGTCCAGCAGCTGCAATGACTCCCCCACCCTCCTGCATTTGCTGGGGCAAAGCGTAAGCGTGCAGACCTGTGCCTGGCAAACCTTCAAGATCCGGAAGGTCAAATAAGTAAATGACCCTGGCATCGAAGCATGCAGAGGCCCTATAAGGTTGTAGGTTTTCTGGTTTGCTTCAGCTTACCCTTGTGTGAGAGCTTTAAGCTGGCATTGGGAAGTAAATGCTGGCCCTGGAGAGTGAAGGGAGGGGGAGAGAGAATCCACTCTGAATCCTCACGGGGCATTTTCTCTTTAATTTGCACACAGTGTTGAAAAGAGCTGCAATAAAGAAGAGCAAAAATGACCTGATTCATGCTGAAGAAGGTGAGGACCATTTCACAGACATTTGCTCCGTTGGTGAGTACTGGCTTCGCATTCCCCGAGGTTTAGATCTCCACCTGAACGTGTTCATGTCATGTTTCCTCTGAGCGGCTCCTTTGCTCCAGAAGCTGCAATTTCAAGAAGGAGAATTATCAAGAAATGGCTTTGTAGCTTCACCCTCTCCCCCATGCTGCCCTGCTCAGCTGTTGCATGCTGCACCCTTTGAAAGAGCCCTGCTGAAATGCTTGGAGAATCCGTGCTGTGTTGGCCATACTGTGATTCTGCTTGGAACATGCTCATTTATGCTAATGAAGCCCAAATACGTCAAATGATACTATTAAGCCTCATCTGTTGTGGGGAGGAGAGGAAGTGGACACTTAGTCACATCTGTCACTAATGCACAGTGGATAGTTTTGCAGCCTTTGCTGTACGAATCGTTTCTGGAAAATGCTGGGCAGGGGCCCCAATTCTCTCATTCTTGCCTTAGAAGAAGGTCTTAAAGCAATTCTGCACATTTTTAAAGCCAGATATGGAGTGCAATTACCCATGTACCTCCAGTGCAGGGTGTGGCATCCTTCATAGTGTGGCACTGATGGTGCGAAGTTGGTATCTTCAGCTCTGGAGAATAAGACACGATCAGGCTACAGAGGTACTGCTCATTCTGCAGTTAACAGGGAGCTCTAGTCCCCTCCTGAGACGTTGCCAGGTGGAGAGGCAGGAGGCGGGTCTGGGGTTTGCAAGGGGAGGCAGGCTCTGAGCACACAGCACCCTGTCTAAGAGCAGCTCTTCGGACATCAGCAGACAGAACTTTCAGTCATGGGCTTTTACTTGCTGTCTGGGGAGACATCTTCCTGACTGCGTTGGAGTTAGCTGTTTCGCTTATTTGTGTCCCTGCTGTTTGGGTCTGTATTTCGTTTTGCTGCTGAAGCAGCAGATGTTCTCATTATCTTCCAAAGAAATGTCTTGGCACCCCAGTTACCACAAAGCAGCAAATCCTGGATGCATAAGAGTAGCAGCACAAACAGTACGTTTGAGAGTACGTGTCCGTATATGCTTGCACGCATGAGTGCCTCGAATGCTCTTTGGAAATTTGGCATTAACATTTTACGAGATTACAGCTGCTGCTGGATATTTTTTTCCCCTTTAAATAAAGACCTGGTTGCAGGGAATGAATGTTGCTTAGCATGTTACTGACTCCATCACCCACTGTTGAACTGCCACAATCCCCCAGGCTGAGCAGGCTGCAGGTTTTGTGGTTAAACTGCTGACACTTCTATGAAAGTTTTGTTGCTTAAAGAGGGCAAAAATGCAGCAACCGTGTGCATTTTTGTTTTGTTTTATTCTGAGCAGCTTGGATGCCTGCATGGATAACAAGGAATGGTCATTTTTGGAACATTTGTTCATGGTTGCAATAATTATGAGATCTTTGCATTCACATCCAAGTCCCTCCAGGCTCTGGGCACCCATGCCACACAAACAGATCTTTGAATTCAGCGTTTCAGGTGGCAACGGATGACGGAGCATCTGGGCTTGTGGATTATCTGATGCAGAGCTGGGAACTGTCTCGGGAGCATATGGCAGGGAAAATAACAGCAGTGCTTTCCACCTTCTGCAAGTGGTTCACCCACTTGGGAAAAGTGTTTTTGATTTTGATTCGTGGAACAAGGCAGAAAAGAAGAAATGGATAAGGCAGATACTTCTGCAGGCTCCTGAAAAGGCTGAAACTCTGCATAACATAAACAATCAGATCATATGGGCAATTATGCATAAAGAATATGGTTTTGAGAAAAGATTTTTTTGGATGCTTTTCTATAATGCCTTGCTGATGGGAGCATAAGGAGCATGGAAGAACTAACAATATAATTACCGAGTGCAACGTGAAGATGTAGACCAGAGCAGTAGAGACTTTGACACGTCTCTTGCTGGTCATTGACTGAATACGTTGCACTTTAATTCAAACACAAGTACCTCAATGAGCCTTATAATTGCATTGTAAAGCTCTGTAGTGGTAAACACTTCCCAGTGTGTTCTCTGGAGTTGTTCTTATCATTTATTCTTTTCTTTCCTCCTAACTCTCAGCCTTTCTTTCCACACCGTAAGTGTGCAGCAGTAGATGCTGGCTCCTTCTGGCTTCCCGTGCTCTACACTGTACCAGACACAGGACACTGTCTTGATTGCCAGACAGCAGAGCCTGGAGAAGTGGATATTTTCCATGTTAAATCAGTTTAAATACGGCTGCTCTTCTTTTCTGAGATCAGTAGAGCCAGTAGAGAGGGGATGAAAGGGCAACAGACTATTTCCAGGCAGATCTGAGAGTATAGATTAGCTTGAATATCTGTTTACCTGCTAAACAGTATTACGATATGGTGCAGCCTATATCTTAACCTGTAGTTCATTTTGTTGTCTTAAAGCAATAGATGGCCACTATGATTTTCTTTTTTAAACGGCCAAAGGGAGGATTATCAAACTAACTGAACAAGAACACACTGAGCTTTTCCACAAGGAGTTTTTTCAAAGCCTGGCCAGGGCCAGCTCTTCATTTGGCGTGTTGGTGGATGGCCAGAAATGTGAAATGGAGCAGAACGCTCGCTTTTTGTCGGGGAGACGGTGCAGCACACTCTTGGGTAGCTGTGTGAGGCTTGGAGAACAGATTGCTGTCACATCTGGATGCTTCATCCTTTCTACGGGTGCTGTGTTTGATGTTATTGCGGGATGAAACAGGGTGAGATTCCCATCCTTTCCAAGTGTTAAAATGTAAGTGAGCACACTCAAAAATTTGGTTCCTGCAGCCAGAACGCTTTGTTCGTGTAACTCAGCCATCTCCAATGACAGCCCATGCCGGTCATCTGCTCTCACAGTGCTTGGTCCAAGACAGGACAGTGTGTGTCCTGGTTAGCCCTACTCACTGGGAGGCTCTGTCCCATGATAGCGAAGGGCAATAGCATATTATCTTGCCAGAAACCATCTTGAAATGAAGTTCACTAGAGGTTTCTGAGGGGTGCCACCACAGCGGGAAACAGGTAGTGGACGGCCTGCTGCAGTGACGATTTTTGCTGCTTGCAACAGCACCTGTGGCTGTTGCAGAGGAACTCCAATGGACACGTGTGTTGTGCCGATTTCTCCTGCCTCAGTGCCGGCCGGAGATTGCCTGTTCATCATTTGTTTGAACAGTGCCTGCTGCCACAGGGGGAGAGCTTACATTAGAAATCATTTCTTCCATCAGCATCCAATTGTTAAAACATTTGACTCTTTTCCAGGGTTTCAAACTAGAGTTGAATTGTAGCTGATACAGGCAGAATTGATACCAATGAGTAGATGTGCCCATTGGAGGCACATTGAGCCCTTTGCTGTAGAAATACACAAAGTCAGAGAGTGAAATAAAGAGACTTCACTCCAATCAGTAATAAGGGCTGGGTCTTGCCTGGTCCTTGGAGCAGGGGAAATAGAGACCAGTTTTCCTGTTTTCAGTTACCCAGCTCCAAGAGGATGTGCTCCACACCATGGGCAGAAATACCACTGTGTCTGGTACTTTCTGTTGCTCCAGTCAACCGGGAACCCAAAAGTTATGTGTTAAATTGAGACAAGCAAGATTACTTCAAAGGGTTGGAAGGCCAGTTTCTTTACATGGTGGAGCTGGGCATTCATTCATGAAGTTTTAAAATCCCAGCCTTCATCCCTCACGATGTCATTGCAAGCAAGATGTCCTTGCTCAGCCCATAGTCAATGTGCCCAGCTTTCTGCTCAGCCGTGTTTCTGGTGCTTGGGAGAGGGTCTGTGTGCCCAGGAATATCCTCTGGCCTTTCGCCTGCTGGGATGGGCTGTGGTGACTGTTCTTTCTGTCCCAGGGTCTCCTTTTGCCCGTGCCAGTTTGAAGAGTGGGAAGAATGAGAGCTCGTCCTACTTCAGGAGGAAAGAGAAAATGTTCCGGTTCTTCATTCGGCGCATGGTGAAAGCTCAGAGCTTCTACTGGATCGTCCTCTGCGTGGTCGCCCTCAACACGCTCTGCGTTGCGATGGTGCACTACGACCAGCCGGAGAAGCTCACCACCGCGCTCTGTGAGTACTGGGGACTCCGCCTTTCCTCTAACAAGGTCTTGCATTTCCAGTCACTCTGAGCACTGCTGTCACATCCCCACGAGGTATGATTTTTCAGCTTCCTATGCCTCTCTCAGAGGAGGATGAGAAATGCATTAATGAGTGGTTCTAGTAACTCAGGAGTAATTGAGTCATACAATTCAGAAAAAATCCGCCAGGACATGATACTGGTTTGAGATGGAAATGTTATCCTAAACGTTATCTGAAACTTCGGATTCAACCACATTTAAATCTTGTAACATGGCGGGAGTATTTGTTCTGTAGGAAGTTTTATGAAAGGGAGGGGAATGGTGTTGTACTTGGGTAAAGGGCAGGTTTCTTTATTTAATCAGCGTCTGCCCAGAGAACAGCAGAATTCATGCCACTGTGCAGCTGATCTACATCCATGGGTGATTTCTGTACTGATGTCCCTGGGATAGCAGCACATGCAATGGCCAGTGCTACGTGGGAGATAAAAATGTCTGTCTATGCTTATAGAATCATACACTAATTCACTACAGTTGTGGCAACTATTGTCATAGTCTTTAAAAGGTTGTGACTTTACAGAAGGTCTTTTTTGATCATCGTGCCTTCCTTACTAGTGGTGTGTGATTAGATGGGGTAGATGTCATCATGCTCTCCTGTGAAAATATGTGCAATAGCGATAGAAATAATACCATGCAGAAGATTATACTATATTTGTGCAAAAGCTTTTATTTTAGCTTGGTTCCTGTGGTCACCTGTGAGTTCAGGCTTCAGATAGTCTGTAAGTGCTTTTGAAGTATGATTAATTTTTTTTTTAAAAAATCACGTTTTGTTCTATGATGAATAATAAATGGAGGCAGCTTTCTGCAATCGGAGCCTTTACACATCACAGTGTTACACTGAGGTTGCAGACCTGCTCATGAAGCCTGTTTTAAAAAAAGTATGCAAGGTGAGAGACAGAGCTTTTTTTGTTTGTTTTAGTGAAGGTTGTAGGCTATGACTCCTAGAGCTGGAAAACTTGTAGAAATTGATAAGGTAAGAATATGGTGACACTGAAAGTGGGACACTGCAAGTTTTTCCTTCTGAAGGGAAGGAATGGAGAGTTTGTTTCTGGAAGGCAGAACCGTTGCATTGGCCACTTCTGACTCTATAAAATGGGTAGGAATAAATCTTTTGTTCAGCACTTGGTATTCAGATGTGCCTAGTTCAGAATTTAAGTGATAATTCTGAAGCAAGCAAACAAAAGACTAGGAAAAAACCCCGAAATATTTCCAACAGTCTAACTTTTAATAATTTTAGCTTCGGTTGTTAAAGATACTTATCTACTAATTTTCCTTGATTTCTGTATAAATTCGATGCTTAAATATTTCTAGCCCTGGTTCCTCAGGTCTTACCCTATCATGAGGAAGCAAACTTTTGAAGTTTGTTTTTTTTAGTAGACCTAAAAGGTGAAGAATATTAGCTGCTTTGACTTCAAAAATCTCCCTATTAATATTTGCTGAAATATTTAATACCACCTGGTAATTGGAGCTATAATGAGAGATGCATAAGAAGGACAGAAACTTCTTTCAACTCTGGGTTGGTTTGGGTTGGGTTTTTTTTTTTTTGCGAGATTTAGACTGAAAAGAGAGACAGACTACACAGAGAAGTCAGTCCTGCTTATTAATTTCCTAAATTTAACAGAGGAAATAGTAAGCTAGATTGGCATAGTAATAAGAAGTTCAAGGCTTAGAATTAGGACTAAATGTCTAGAAAAAAAACCACTTTAAGTCTTTCAACTCAAAAAAGAAGGCTTCAGATTTACAGACTCAGTTTTGGAAATACCTTATGCAGTAACTTTTCTAAAAAAACATAAAGAGATCTGTGAGCCAACAACTTCTCCTTAACGTTCATATGAGACCTGGAAGGGATGTTCGTTGATTAGAATTAGAATTAAAGTTACACCTCTAGGTAGGAAACGTATCTGGGACAGGGGCCACAAATTAAGTTCCCAGCCTACCTCAGCTGAAGATAAAATTAGGAAAGGTTGAAATTGTGTTGTGCCTGGGATCAGGGATTGGGATGGATCCTTCTTTCAGGAGCTCTGCATGCGTCCATAACACACAGTATTGTGAATTGGTTTCAGAAACACTTGGGTAGTGTACTTTAATTTCTTGGTGCTAGGGTACTTCCTAGCTAAGAATGAGTGATCCCATTGACTTTTTTTTTTTAGTGGAAACATTAGAAAAACACCAAAGAACCATGTGTTCTTGGGAGTTAAATCCTCAGCATCCTCCCAGCCATAGGTACTTTCCTGTCTCTCGTCTGCCTTTTATATGCCTTTGTATCACTGCACTGCCATTTACTTGTAAGACTTGAGCGTCCTTTGTCAATGAGGAAACACCTGGACATGTTTCACAAATCAATCCCTTAGATTCACTAAAAGAAGTATTAGTGGCCACAGATAAACACTGCTAGAAACAAGACTGTAATTGGTGAGTGGCAACACAGAGGTGGATCACAGACAAAACCAGAATATCTGAGAAATCGTAGGTTTTGTGGATGTTCTTGTATAGGTATAAGCATTGGGTCTTTAAACGGAGTAGTACAAGATTAGCCACCATTGGGTCTTTAAATGGAGTGGTACAAGATTAGCCACCATGACATAGAGAATAAAAGCCAGAGATGTAGAATGAATGGTTGTCATGGAAGTTCTGAGATACTCTAGATAATTTTCTCTTGGTGTTTTTTTCAGAGGTAGTTTTCTCCAAGAAAAGAAGCAGAGGGGCCACGGGTTCATTCTAGGCAGGATTGTCTCTGGTCTGTCTTAGAGCATAATGTAATGGAAACTCTGGGAAGAAACCTATTTTAACATAATTTTAGAAGAAGGAGCTTCTGTGAATTGTCCACTGAAAAAGGCTTGCAAGTTTAACCTCTTAAATTACAAGAGTCCCATACTTCCAAACCCTCCTGACTTTTCAGGATGATGAGCTGTAGGATTATATTCACATGTGTCTTTGCATTGGTAGTGACCTAAAGGTTTCTGCCCACTTTCCTTGGGGATGGTATGGTTTTCATAGCATAGTCTTTCCCACTAATCTAAAGTTTAACATTGAATTCAGGGAACATTTTACACCTTAAGGTACGTGACACTTTGTGTGGATTAACTAGTTTTGTTATTGCAGTCACGATAAGACTGAAGTTGGCCCCTCTCACTCCTGCATGCACTAAACTGCAGCCAGCCCGATTGACCTGCAGTAAACACATCTGTGAATGAGCCCAGCTGTGGTTTAGCCCTTGAGGAGCGCTCCTTGAAAGCCCTGTTCTGCCCAAGATTTGTGCATAAATCCATTAGATATAGGCAGAACAAGATATCACAAACCAGGGGATTTTAAATAGCTCCTGGAAATACTTGGCAAAATCCTTTAACTGTAAGAGTGGCAGAGTTTAAAAATGGCTTTAAAGTTAATCCATGATGAGTGAACTTTGCTAGAGAGGAGCAGGACTTGTCTAGTCTGATGTAGAGCAAGAGAGAAGTAGCCAATTCTAATTATGTTGTTTCATGGAAGGTGCTCAGAAATGATGAGGAGCGTTGTGAACTGCAGCAGCAGGAGAGGAGTGCAGTAAAGTCTGGGAGGAGCTGCTAAACTCTGAAACTCTACCCAGGCACCTCTAATTCAATTATACCTGTCCCTCTGGGTAAAAGTTTAATTACATTACAAATTAATTTTACTTAAAGAACTGTTGGTAAAAGCCTACGGGTCTGCATTGATTTATTTTTCCCTTGGTCTTTTCTTTTAACTTTTCTGTTCTTAAATTGTTCTGATTAGCTTTCTCTGCTTGATATTCCATATTGCTGCAACTGCTTTGGAAAAGGAGCTTTAGAAAGAGACTTGGGGTTTTTTTAGTCTTATTGAAAGAGTTGATGAGAAATTCTTTGAATTCTTGGGGTCTGATGAATAACAGGACCTACTTTTATGCTCCTGTAATTATCCCCAAATTAGATCAGAGATTTTCCTTCTCTGTATGGAAAGGATGCCAGGGCCAAATTGTGATAGGAGTTTTCTCATGCTGCACGTGGACACATGGCATGTTCTGCTCACTGAAGCATGGACCTTCAGTTAAATAAGTTGCAGTTCCCTATAAAAGTCTGTGTTTCATACAGCCACCCATGGTTTTCGTCTGTTTGTGTTAATTTCCACCATTGCCAATATTCTCAGAAAGAAGAGACTTCTGTCAGGAGACAACTCTGTAATTCAGCCTAGAGAAGCATCACTGAGATCTAGTAGCAGCAAAGATGCATCTTCAGCTGCGAGCAACAAACCGACAAAGTGCATAGCGTGAGACACAGTGGAGGTGCAGCATTAAGGGATTTTCAGACAGGACTGTGCCTTTTAAAAATACATGCTGTAGCTTGAGCAGAAGTTGCAAGCCTGCTGTGGAGACAGCTGTACGTGTTTGCATGCCCTGGGCTGTGCAGGAGGCCAGCAGAGATGGTGCTGGTGGTGGTCTCCTCTTCCTCTGAGTAAAGCTGTGGAAGAAGGCTGGAACCAGAGCTCTTTGGCCTCTGCAAGGTGGGCTTTAGGAACCATGGTGAGAAAGTTTTAGGATTCAATCAGTAGAATTTCTCTTGGGACCCCTCTCATCAGTCTTCCCTTCCCCTGTGGCTGCCCTTCACGAAGCAGCTCCCTCCATGTTTCTCCAGCTAATGCTACAGCGATCCTTAACTTGCTCCCAAATTTATATCTGTCTAAAAACAAGATCCAGAATGCCTCCTTTCTGATAAATACAGTATTTGAAAACAGTATTTTAGCCATTATAGCCTGAGAGCATCTTCCCTGTGTACTGCACAATGCTGAACCATGTGTTTGGTGCAATTAGGTCTTTTTTGATGATGTTGTGTTTGCCTTTGAAGCAGATAGCCAGCTCCCTCCGGATATAAATATGCAGCATTTGCAATTGCGAGGAAAAGGCTTTCTGAAGCGAGCATATTTATTTATGTCTGCTGAACATTTCACGTCTGCTTTGTCGAAGAGGAGGAAGTTGTACTTCTCCGAGGTTCTCCTCCTGGTTGGTTTAATGTGCGAGGAGGATGAGGAGAGGAAACCAAAGCATCAGGCTCAGCATCTGCTCCTAATGACATTGGACGGGGAGACAGGGCAGAAATGGAATTAATCCATGGGTGATTGACAAAAAAAGAGGTGCTAACTGTCAAATTCAAATGTACGGGGCAAAAAGATGCTAGCACGGCCTTTGCCAATAGCACAGATTTGAAATTAAATAAGAGTATTTGTATCAAGCTTTTTTTTTCTTAAATCACATTACAAAATGCTTCTGCTTAAGGCAGATTAAATTACATGTGGGTCTGAATACCAGGAGGTCCAAACAACGAAACTGCATTTTCAATTACACGGGTAGGGCCATGTCAGAAGAAATCGTGTTTCTGGTCTGTCCGCTGGAGAAGCTGATTCATTCAGAGTCAATTCCTTTTGCCCGAGGAGTTCACTATGTCCATATTTTCCTTGCCTCTATCCCCTGTCCTCCCAGTGCTATGATTTGTAGCATCTGGTTCCTGCTGAACTATCGCTATCGCTGCCTGCTTTGAACTCTGATCTAGTTGTTTCTTGAATGTTCTGAGTTTCTAACGTTTCCTGTTGTGTTGGTCTGTGGGGGTTTGTTTGTTTGTTTGTTTTTTAAAATAAAATATTTCTTGATTCTGTTTTACTTAGGGCATTTACTAGCTTTTTTTCTCCTATGATATTCTGGTTTTGCGTGTGTGTTTGCAGGGTGTGTCAGTCTGATGATGGAACATTGCACTTGTTGGTACCTCGTTTTTGTTCATACTTCTGCTGGATGGGTGACTGAATATTAATCCTTGTTTCTTTCCTCCTTTTGCTTCTTTTGGAATGATGCTAATTGTCTTGGCAAAGCGTACTGCAATCTGTTGGTGAAAATTACAGTAAAAACCCTCTACCTATTATTTTTGTTATTCTGTGAAAGAGTCTGGGGCGTACCCGAAATGTAAGCCCGAAAGGTGAGTCTGGCGGATACATACGAGGATAAGAATCTCCCTACCAGAGCGAGATACGAAGTAGGTGGAAGTTGTGCAATGCTTCCTGTAGGTCTGATCTACAACTCCTCCCTATGATTTAAGTTTTATCTGCTAACTAAGCAAGGCCACCAGTTTCAAAGCATTGTTTGATATCAGTCCTTGTGATAGGGAGATGTTACATTGAAGTCATTCCAATAAGCACCGTTGGGCTTGCTGAGCTCTGCTGAGCATGAAACCAAGGACGGGGGTGATAACTTCTTAGCGAGGGAGAGCCTCTTGTCAGCACAAGCGCTGGTGCAAGCTTCCCCTCTGGGCTAATGACTGAAATAGGTGACAGCAGCCGAAGAAATTCTTCCATGCCCAGAGAAGATGCATCTGCTTTATTGGGGGACTTTTGCCTTCTGTTTCTTACTGTTTCTGAAGAGCACAGGGTGCAGAATGAAAGTTCAGGATCTGGCCTGGAAGCTAGTTAAAGCTTCTGATTTACAGGGCCACCTTTTTGTAATTAAGGATTTTAACATTCTTACTACTTTACAGTTGCATTCTTTTTAACTATGTGCAAAGAAATTCAATACCACTGACCATGTGTTTTTAAAAAATTCTGTATTTTTATATTATTGGACTTCTCAGCCGCCTCATTTTATGCCTGATATTGGTTCACCTGGTCCCTTTCTCGCACCCTATGCGCTTGTATAGTCAGATGGATTGCCAGGGTAACTATGGAGAACTCCCTGCTGTGGGATCCCTTGTGTTGGAAACAACTGTTTGCTCACTGAGCTCTTGGATCTGATGTGAGAAAGGAGAGAAAAGTTGTAGCATGGTGCAGGTGAGAACATGCTTCTCCTAGTAAGTTCCAAGCTCCAAGGGAGGTGCTGCTCCTGTGTGTGACCATGCCTTCCCCTGAGCACTGAGATCCAGCGGATGGAGCCTATCTCTTGGTAGGAAAAAGGCTGCGAAGTCTGCAGACCTCATACTTTGTCATCTTATTCCTCAAATGTGAACACTTTGCCCTTGATAATCTCCTTTAATGACACTGCTTCTATTTCCAAGAAGAGTAGGTTACATGGTATAATTAATACCCTCCTGGTATCTCCTCCCTTATCGCAAATGTTGGTGGAAGTGTCCTTGTAGGCTCCTCACTGAAGTGTTAATAAAACCTTTCTCATCTAGTTAATACTTCCTAGATTTCAGTTAACTTTATGCCCATGATACTTCATAACTGTCTTTCATTTAAAATTTAAACCACTGTTTTATTTTTTGATAATTGAAGCTGTATTTTTCAAGCAATTTCAAAAGACAAGCAGCAATGCAAGTTGGACCTGGGCCAGCCGTGCTCACTCGGTGTGAACGTGCAAGGCAGTGACTGGAGTGAAAGCCATGCAGTTTGAAAGGACCCTCGCTCCCTCCTCTCTTTCTCCCCACACCTGTTAGCTGAAGCCACCTATTGCAAAATGTGTACAGAGCATTTGGATTCAGGATTATCTAGCTGAAATTTTCCCTGTTGCAACTTGGATCCGTTGCCCCTTGTCTGTCTGTGTGCACCTTTGAGTAAAGTTTGGCACCTTGTTATAATCGTTCCTGGAATCGTAAAACTGAAATTACAGAACTCAACTTTCCTGTAGCATCTGGTCTGCTACAGCATCTGAGAACCTTCTGTATGGCGCTAAGCAATGCGATTAATCTCCGCCTTTTGAAGTTTGATACTTTTCCTCCTCTTTTCTCTGGAGGGAGAAGTTTGCCTTATGCTGTTTGGTTTGGTTTGGTAGCATAGAGGGGTTTTTTGCCCTTTTTGTATTTGTTTTGTTGCTGTTGCTTATTGGCCTCCAGATCTAAACTTGCTTGACTTAAAATGCCAAAGGCAGTGTTCTCTGTAGCTTCAAGTCCTAAAAAATTGATCTGGAAATTGAGGTCTCCAGCTATGTTCTTTCTGCCCTTTGTTTCGTCATAGGTGATAAATTTTCCAATCAAAAGCTTCACAGCCTATTTGGCTGTGATATGTGAAGCAGAAGGAAACAGAACTTGCTCTTCCGTAACGATATGGTTATACAGGTATAATAAAATAAAAGTAGCTGCGTGCTAACAGTAGACACAACACCTCTGAATATGAGCTCTCAGAGACAGCAGTTCTGTTGGGTATGAAGGTATTTTTATCATGAGAGGATGTTACAAAAGCTTACATCCTGCTCCCAAAAGTGCCCGTCTCATGTAGGTACAGAAGTCCCAAACATACATTTGCAAAACATTATCTGTGCAATTAAATTAGACCTTTAGAAATATTAGATCTAGACTGTTCTTTTGAAATTCCTTTACGAAGATGATGAGAATATTATTTAATGCTCACACCAGCCTTCCCACAGTACACATGAAACATTGACTTCACCATTCCTGAAGGCTGAATACAGCTCATGTGCATATAGAAATAATTATGTGAAACTGTCCTCAGGGTCTTTTTTGCCATTGCAAAGGGGATTTTCTTCTGGCAGGGGGCAGTCTGTGTTGTGAAAAATTACCAGTGTTCCCCACATGAAGAGATGTGCCTACCAAGGTCTTGTGGACTAATTTAACCTCTTTTCCTCTTTCCAGATTTCGCAGAGTTTGTTTTTCTGGGTCTGTTCCTTACTGAGATGTCTTTGAAGATGTATGGACTGGGGCCAAGAAATTACTTCCACTCTTCCTTCAACTGCTTTGACTTTGGGGTGAGTAGGCTTCAGCTGTGGGGATGAAGTGTGTGGCTCTCCCGTTATTCAATGGGGTTGAGCTTTTAAGGTGGGAATGGGAATCAATAGGAAGTGGTACTGTAAGCGTGTCTTCTGTGGGGAGTCATTGTTTAAATTAGCTGCAGTGACACCCATTAAGCTTCCCCTAGTTATCATCCTTTTTGAAGAAATGTGACGGCTGGGGATTTCATTTCCTCGGCAAGCTACAGGGTGTTCGCAGCATCAGCACCAGTAAATGCTCTGATTACTAAGAGATTCTCTCTCCCATTTAAATGAGGTGATTGAAACACAAAAACCCCGCACATTTTATTGCTCATCTCCCCTATCATCCATTTAATGGCCTTTACCTCAGGATACACAGGCAGCACTTTTCAGACTTGAGTGCCCAGAAGTAGAAGTCTAAACACATGATTAGGTGACAGAAAGGCAGTAACTCACATCCTTTTACTCCAGAAGTACAGGCTTTCCATTTCGTGCTAAAACTATAGCTTTGAAGTGTGAATAGTGGGGCCAGTTTGGACTCTGTCTAACAAAGAACCCCGGGAGCAGATGTTAATTTAGTCATTAAAAACTATGAGGCTGTAATCTGTCCTCACAGAGGTTAACTGGGCTTCTCTTGCCTTTAGTGGGGGCTGAGCACTGCATCTCAGAGCAGGAATCCAGCTGTAAGTTTTCTTTAACAAACCAGATACGAAGCTTATGATGCAGCCAGAGGCAGGGGGAATACAGTTCAGGTCATTGTACGTCATCCAGCCCTTCTCTCCAAGATTTAGTCTGTTGTTTCTAGTCTTCATCTGCCAAAATGCCAGGAGTGACTCTTCTCCTCCATGGAGCAAAATTCCAGCTCTGCTCCTGCAAGGGAGGAGGAGGTATTCTCACCTTCGGTAAATGACCACTCCTAAATCCAAGACTACCGGTAGAGCCAACATCTCCTCTTTCTGGCAGTGTCAGCCGGAAAGCTCGGAACTAAATAGACTTTGAGATTAAACCCTCCAGCCCAAGAATGACCTGCATCCAACAGACTGAGGTGTTGCATCAGGCTGCACCAAGCGTGGGGCTCTCCTCTCTGGGATGTCCATCGCAGCTGGTGGTGGCTCAGAGCACTGAAGTAAATTGTGCCGTTCCTTTTGGCTGCATAGCCCAAAGGATAATAAGCAGACTCTAACTGTCATGAGAGGAAACCATGCACAAATAACACAGATAATGTCACATGACTAGATGTCTGCACATTCAGAGTTGGTGCCTAATCCGAGGGGGACAGAGGCACCCCTCAACTGAAGGCAGTCAACTCATACCATGGCTTAACTGTACTGGCAAGATGTCCTGCAAAGGCTGGAATGATGAGTGTGTCCACAGAATACGAGGGGACTGACACCCAGTTTTCAGCAAGTTTAGTGCATGGCCAAAGACCCCAGTTTCTGTAAGCTGAGTCAAAGACATTTGGTGGCCAAGCAATTACTAGTTAGTCTTGTAAGGGTATCATTGCCTCGTTTGTGTTGTCTGGTGACAGACACTAGATCAATGTCCTTCACCAATGGATTAGTAGGCTCTGAGCTGCAGCTAGCTCGCCCCCATGATGGCTGCCAGTTTCCCTGGATCCTTGCATCCAGGATGCTCCTTCCACAACAAGAAAAGCTCGTACCCGATGGTCAGGAATAGGTGATTTAGGAGCCTGCACTAAGCAACAGATAAACCTACCAGGTCTTTCTGCTTTGTGTCATGCTGTGGTGAGTGCTGCACTGGCAATAAGCTTTGCCAAGTGTTTCCCAGGAGGTAAAGCTGTTGATCTGTTTCTAATTCTTCCTCCTTTAGAGAATCCATAGGGATCCTACTTGTAGCCATGTTTCTTCCTCCTCACCCACCTTCCCGCCCCCAGAATTAATTCAGCTACTTCACCCCCACTGGAACATCACACAGAACTGTAGTCAGTTTAGTTTGACAAACCATCAAGATGAAACCGTTCAAATGCAAAAAGTGAAACAACAAATCAGAGCAACATCAGTCTTGGGAGAAACAGTCCAGTGGGGTCTCATGTGAAACAAGCTCCCGGGAGGCCGTGTTGAGATGCCGGGAAAATTAATTATCAGTGCCACATGTGGAGGGTCTAAGGAAAGGTTTTTGCTGATTCATGAGGGATTCCCAAGAGTGATAGATTGTGAGGGAGAAGTTTTAGTTCCATCTTTTTCTGATGGAAGAAACTGGATAAGCAACTGTTGTGTATCTCCCTTTCCCACTATGTTTTCTTGAAACTCAGGGCACAGCATTTCTTGCACAGCAGCTGCAAGCAATGCTGTAGTTTCCAAAAGACATCCAGGTGTCTGTTTATGAAAGGGGTTTCCAAGCTGGTGGGTCTCCCAGCACTGCTCAGGTACTCAGACACAGCTTTGCTGCCCTGACTTCCCATTAACACTCCCTTTCACAACACAAACCAGCTGCTCCCTGGGGTCTGGAGACAATGTGTTTATGGTGTGTTTCACGCAACTGGGGACCACAGTCCATGGGAGCTCTGAAGTGGTAGGTTAATGCATGTAATAACAGCCATTGGCAGTGAAATGCCTGTCTTCTCTTATTAGCTGTGCGGTAACCTGTGTGGATGTAATTGCCCTTTCCAGTTGTGCTTAACCCATTACTATTTAGTCCTTTCTGTAATAAAGGATTTCAGAGAAGATTTCTTTATCACTTGAGGTTAATTCTTTAACAACCTTAAAACAAAAAAAATGGACAAAGCAGAATCTAAAACCCCACCTTGACTGGGGACAATTTTTTTAATAACCTGAAGCTGAGGCCCTGGCAGACGATTGGGTGTGTGTGCTAGAGGCTTTGCAGGATCTCTTAATAGCTGTTTCCTTAATTGCTTTCCTAAAGACTCTCAGTTGACAGAAGTTTCTGGATGATCTTGCCCAGAGTTAATGCTTCGTTGCTCTGCAGTGCGGTGGGTGAAGTCTTTTGGTGCTTGTGATGGGAAGGGGAGGATGGGGCATGTCTGCAGGCTGTACAGGCCGACTGTGTGGGGTGGGAAAATGGAGTGTTGGCATTTGCAGCTGAGCCAATGTAAAAAAAAAAAAAAAAAAAAAAAGAATGCTATTTTAAGGTAGTTTGTATGCTAGAGAAGAAAGCAACAAGTTCCTATCTATGATCTCCTGTGCATCTGTCCCGCTTCTAGGTATTGCCCTTTTTTAGACTGGACTGCAGAAAGTTGGAACAAGGTTTTCTAGTGCTGTTGGCTAATTCATTATTTTGCTGAAGCCTTCATAAGAAAACCATCACAGCCCAGGCTCTGACTCTTGCTCTGTCCTCAGCCTCTCTAGAAACACCACAAAGAGCTAAGCAGAATTTTTGCTGTATGTAAAATGGGCTCTTCCTGCAGGTCATCGTGGGAAGTATATTTGAAGTTATTTGGGCTGCAGTGAAACCGGGTACCTCATTCGGCATCAGTGTATTGAGAGCGCTTCGACTGCTGAGGATTTTCAAAGTAACGAAGTAAGTCCCTCTCCCCTTCTGCTCACATTAGACTTTTAGCACTGTATGAAATCTGTATCACCCAGCCTTAAAACTAGTAGTAGTGCTTTCCATACTTGTAAAAAAAAAATATTTAAAAAAAACCCAAAAAACAACCCCCCAAACACCCTGTACACTGCACAGTGCTCTTGTCTGTCTCTTGTCGCTTGTCTGTCCTGACATCTTAAGTCTACACTGGCCCTAATGAGGGGCAAGAGCAGAAGAAAATTGCAGATGCAGAGCTGCCCTTTCCTCGGCTGGGCAGTCAGGGTTTCTGGCAGTTGAAGGTTTAGGGAGTTCCTGAGCCTGTATTTCTTTTAACAGCCCTTTCCCCAGCCTCATGTACAGGTGCTTCTACCCTTGGGCAGAGGGCTCTACAGTGTAGTGATGGGCTGCATGACAACATTCTTCTGTTCTTTGTTTTTAAGCTTGCTTAAAACAGAAATCTCATGAGGTGATCCCTTATTTCTTGTGATAAGAGAAAAAGGTTTCTTATTTACTTTCTAAGCCCCATTGTCTGCCCAGTGTCCTTCTCTGCTGCTAATCTGGTGATAGTTCCTTAAATAACTGAGCTACCCTGGTTACTGCTAGATATTAAATCCTGGCACCTGAACTGCTGTGTTGACACAAATATGAAGTGTGTTGCTGCTGCCTGTGCTGTGTCTGGTCTGGGAATGTCTGGGGTTTTCAGTGGTGACCTGTGAAGTTGAATTATCACTAGAGTTGAGTTGACACAGCTTTTCAGTTGTTTTCATGCTCATGCATTGTGTTAATGTGTGCTGGCATTAGCAAACAGCTACTGTGCAATTTATAAATCCATCTAAAGCAATTTCTGCAGGATTTCAAAATTATGGTGTGGAAATGGATGACATATTTAGGTGCTCTTGCTGTTGTTTTCCACCCTTTTTTTTTTTTTTTACACCATTGCCTCCTCAGATCTCCCCTCTTTCCATCACTCTCTAACTTGTTCTTGGCTTGAAGTAACAAAAGGAGGAATAGCATCTCCCTTCAAAAAAACCCCAACCACCTCAAACGGATAGAGCACAGGTTATCACATTTGAGCAAAACAGTAATTTCAAGTAACCAGGTACTTTGGCAGCTATTCAAACACGCATGTTTTGTTAGCCCTGTAAGGTTTGCTGATTTGTATCTGCTAATGGTTATGTAGATCCAAGATTTTTGTGTGATACCATGTTGGGACAAAGGGGTTGGAAACATTAAGTTCTGTAAATGTCCAGCAGAATAGATGGGCCTCTGCCCCAGAAATGTCACTGTAGTCTACCTTTGCACTAATCTTGTTTATGGAAAACTCCAGGTTTTGTAGCAGCTTCATAGCAGTCAACTGTCAGCAGTTAATTTTATCCAGAGCTACTGAGATTTACTGTATCTGATTGTGTGTTGTACTTTTTAAAAGTTTTGGACATTTTTTCGAGTTAAAATTATCTTTTTTTGACTTTGGACTGTTTAGGATTTTAGTCAACATAATAAAGGGATGAAGCCTGAGATTGAACTTAACAAAGTGCTATCCTCCTCCTCAGGGCAGTGAGTGAAATTCTCACCCACTGATGCCGAAGTTCCCTTGACCTAATTATGTGGGTTTTTTCACCTGATGTGACAGAAATGCATTCATTGCGTTACCAGAAGCCAAGTCCCCCCCAGCTCACACAGGGGGGGGAATCTCAACTGTGTTGGGCCACATTATCCCAGTGTCTGAGCTGCACAGCTTGTGGAGAGAGATCAAGGTGATGGCAGCAGGCACAGATTGCTATCCACCTGCTCTCCTTACACTCTGCTGTGAAAACATCCTGATCCTCAGGAGTTTTCTTTTTTTTTTTTTTTCCTTTCCCTTTTTCCATCTCTTTCATAGGAATTTTACTCTGAAGCTCCCTGTCTTGTTTTTTTTTTTTTTTTTTGCTTTAACAGAAGCCAGTTGCAGTCAACGTATTTTGAATAATTGATGGCATTAGACCTTTTGATTCGTATGTCCCAAATCAGTGTGACTGCAGACAGCAAAGTGATGCAATAGTTAAAAAGCTACATTACAGCTGGCCTGAAAGGTGATGGCACGATGCACTATATGGGGATGCAGCCTAAGAGGGGCTAAAATTCAGCAAGGAGGACAAGGAAAAAACAGCTTCACATATTTTCATTTTTGTCATGGCAGAACTGCATGGGGACTGGCATCTGTAGAAATGCAACTCCTCATTATATCCTGGTGCTCTGCAGTCAGGCAGGGTTTGCTGCTCAGCTATTTGTCATGGTTTGAGCCCATCCAGTTGGCAACAAAAGCCCCCGCAGCTGCT